TTTCTTTTGTTTTTTCCTTCTCTTTTTCAGTAAAGAAGGGCTCGGCTCTCTTTCTCTCTCTCTTTATAGATTAGAGTTTGTACTCTTGTTCACTATCCATATATATATCTATTTATTTATTTATTTATTTATCTATCTATCTATCTATCTATCTCACCATTATTATTAACGGTGAATGGCCAGTGTGAAACTACACTACTCGGTGGGTGATGAGAACTCTATTAACCGTGCGTACACTCCAATGCAGCGCAAAGGCCACACATTACATTACAGTGCAGACACCAACTCGGGATCTCGACAAGGCTTACATGATAACACCTCTATACACTGTACAGATGAAGAAACAGAATGTGTGGGTCTACATGGGACTCAACGATGGCGAGAAGAAGCATCTCCAAGCCCATTACCAAATAAAAATACTGCTGGAATCCCAACCGATAAAACAAGAAGTTCAACTCAAATGGATAGTTCACCACGTTTGGTCATGCATGAGCCACATGCCTACAAATCTCCACCTGATCCAAATAATTATAATAAGACACAATTGCCACAGGTTATAAAGATTAACACTATCCACAACCTCAACAACAAGAGTAACGACCATCTAAACAGCATCAATGATAATAATAATAATAATAATAATAATAAGAAGAAGAAGAAGAAGAAGAGGGGAGAGTTGTACACACCTGTATCTGCAAATAATACATCTGGTAGTGTACGGCGGCCATTTCCATCAGGGGCTCTCATGCCACCAGCACCATCCCCACACCGCAGTGAGGAGATGTTTCCTGAACAGATGCATTCCCCAGCATCTCCATCATATTTTGTAATGGATCAGACTCAGGAATTACAACAGGCACGGCAGGAAAATAATCTTTTGCGTGAAGAAATTCATTCCGTACGGGCCTCACTGAAAGACGCATTGCAAATGTTGGAGATGCGGGAGTTAGAGTGTGTAGAGCTGAATCAACTTGTAGATAAAATGCAAGCTCAAATAGATGAGTTACAAGGAGTGGATAAAAGGAAGTCACCTCTACCAGAGAAACCGCAAACAAAAATGAAAAATACACAACCAGTGGCTCCTCTGGCACCTCCACAGAGAGCCAAATTAGCAAAGAAACCAACAGTTCTTGGAAAGAAATCTGTCAATGAACCAGTAAATCCACCTAAAGGCAGATATTCTTTCATTGTAGGAAAAACCGATAATAATAATAATAATAATAATAATAATAATAATAATAATAATAAAGTAGAGATTCCTCTTATAAACCATACTGCAGCGAATCCTCCTGTTGTTTCCAATGCTCCTGAGAGTGGCAATACCAATCCACAACAATTAGAGGAAGAACGACTTAGACTTGCACAGGAACTTGCAAAGGCGAAAGTGGTGATAGCTGAACAAGAGGCTGTATTAGATCGTCTCGGTCTTCATTTCCCGTATCCAAGTGCAATGGTAAGCGCTGCACGTCGTATTATTCCAACATTTGGTCCTCTGCGGGAACGAGATACTCACAAAAAGGTAAAGAAAAATGAAGAACACCAGGGGCGCAAGACTGCCCCTAATCGATATGAGTGAGCAGTATATATATATATGTATGTATGTATGTATGTATGTATACTGTATCTCTTTTTTTCTATGTTTATTTGTATACTTATAAGCACAGAGGAAAGTAGCCATCTCTGATGTTACTCAACTTGTTGCTTAATTTATTATTCACTATTATGTTTTTTTTTTTATTTTTATTTTTGTACATTCCAAAGAATTTTCGAGTGGACTGTAAACCTTAAAATGTCGTATGTGTTTTCTGTGGAATATATCACAAGAGAAAACCACTGCTTTCATTTTATTATTATTATTATTATTATTATTATTATTATTATTATTATTCTTCGTCAGTTCTCCTTCTTTTTCTGTCGATGTACGTATTATGTTGGAAAAACAAAAAAACAAAAACAAAAGATGTTTACTTTTTTTTTTTTTAGAAAAAACAAAAAAAAAAACAAAAACAAAAACTCACCCTTCTCCTTTTTCTTTTCTTTGCTTACTTGATTGCGGTATTTTTTTTATTATTAATTTTTCTTTCTGATAATTGAATACCTAATTCAATGAGCAGGGAAACCGCAAGGTAAAAGTAAAAAGGATGTTTTGCATGCGCAAAGAAAAAAAAAGAAAAGAAAAGAGAGAAAGATGTACGGTGTTATGATAAACATCATTAAAAGTTTACAAACCCTTATTTTAGCTCAGAAATGTTTCATAATCCTTTATTTCTTCATTTTCTTATTCTCTCTATGTTTCTCTCTTTTCTTTAGGGATAATTTAGAAGTATTCTAGTGTTGTTGTCTTTTGTGATTTTTTTTTCTTTTTTCATTTATTTTATTTATTTTTCATTGTTATCATTATTATTTTATTATATATATATATAAATTCCTCTTGAAAAAATAAGTGTACACCAATGGAGGAGAGTTATAACCCATTTTCCGGTTACCAGCAGCCACAGCGTCAACATTCCCAGCAGGGTTATCGTGGTGGCCATGCTCGTAATGGTAACGGTTACGGTAATAACTACGGTAATGGTAACAACAACTACAATAACAACAACAGCAATGCTGGACGTCGTTCCTCGCTGGACGCACCGGGAGAAAAGATGCGGCCTGTTGATTGGAGTAATGTAAAACTCGTGCCTGGCAATTGGAATGTGATTGACACAAAGTCTATTCAACGTGCGGCGAATGCAAAGACGGAGGCCGCTCCAGTGGCACAACTCAGTGAGGCCGAGGCCAAAACATGGCGGGATACAAACTCCATTGCCGTCTTTGGTGAGAACTGCCCACCGCCCATCACCAGCTTTGATCAACTCAATACATTGGTGCCGGGATATTTACAGCGTAAACTCACCGCGCAGGGATTCAGCTCACCCACTGCTGTGCAAGCACAGACATGGCCTATTTTACTCCGTGGACGTGATATTGTTGGAGTGGCAAAAACAGGATCTGGAAAGACTCTCGCCTTTATGGTGCCAGCACTCGCCCATATTGCCATGCAGGAGCCACTGCGGCCAGGCGATGGACCAATGGTGATTGTACTTGCCCCAACACGCGAACTGGCACAGCAAATTGAACAGGAAACAAATAAAGTACTTCCAACGGAGGTTCGTTGTGGATGTGTGTATGGTGGAGCACCGAAAGGACCACAACTTGGAATGCTTCGACAAGGTGTTCATGTACTTGTTGCTACTCCAGGACGATTGATTGACTTTTTGGAAATTAAACGAGTGAATCTCTTTCGTGTAACGTATCTCGTGTTGGATGAGGCGGATCGTATGTTGGATATGGGATTTGAACCACAAGTGCGTGCTATTTGTGCTCAGATGCGTCCAGAGCGTCAGACATTAATGTTTTCTGCTACTTGGCCTAAAGAGATTCAACGATTGGCAGCAGAGTTTCAGAAGGATTGGATACGTATTCACGTAGGAAGTACAGAACTGTTAGCCAATAAGGATGTGACACAACACTTTATTCTTACACAAGAGCATGGAAAGTTGGATGAGTTAAAGAAATTAATGTCTGATCACCGTAATGAACGTGTTTTGGTCTTTTGTAAGACAAAAAAAACTGCAGATGATCTTGAATGGCAACTGAAAAAGTGGGGTTATGATGCTATGGCTATTCATGGTGATAAGGAACAACGTCAACGTGAATTTATTCTTGATCGTTTCCGCAAAGACCCGAGACTCTGTGTTGTGGCAACAGATGTTGCTGCTCGTGGTTTGGATATTAAACAATTGGAAACTGTTGTCAATTATGATTTCCCTATGCAAATTGATGATTACGTTCATCGTATTGGTCGTACTGGACGAGCAGGAGCAAAGGGAGAGGCATTCACACTTATCACAAAGAGGGAACAACAGATTACACCGGCAGTATTAAAAGAACTCATCGCCATTATTGAACGCGCTCATCAAAATGTACCAGATTGGATGCGTGAGTGGGGTGATCAACAACCACGGTATCAAGTAATGAAACGTAATCGCAATCATACCGGGTTTGGAAGTCAACGACATATGCCCGCGCTGAATAATGGGAATCGTCCATCCTTTGATCCTCAGAATGGTCATGCCAGTAACAACAACAACAACAACAACAACAACAACAACCGAAGTGGTGGTACGTTTGGTCTGCCACCTAAAAACAACAATGGGGCAGCTTTTTCATCTTCAAAGATTGAGTATAAACGGTTTGACGACAGTAGTGATGATGATAACGCACAGCCTGCGAAAAAGCGTGTGAAGTGACGTTTTTTTTTTTTTTTTTTTTTTTTTTTTTCCTTTTTTCCTTTTTTTCCTTTTTGTTTCCAGCTTTTCTTTTTTTTTTTTTTTCCAACCTATCTCTCTTCTTTTTCTTTTTCACTTCCATGAATGAGGAATCTCTCTTTTATTTATATAGAGGGTCATCATGGGAAAGGAGAAAGAAGAGAAAAGGAAGCAGTTGAAACAAAGTGAAAAAAAAAAAAAATACCTTAAAAAATATCTAAAAAAAAAAGTGAGTAAGGAAAAAAAAAAAATGAGTAATAAATAAACCTGAATAAGTTCCCTTTTTTTTTCATTCTTTCGAATCTCGTTTAAATATCTCATCAGTTGTATATGGCTGAGGGGGATCTTGGCTGCAGTTTAGGAGCATGTTTGCTTGCCAATTTCAAACCTTTTGTGGTTTGTTTATGAGCTGACGAAGTTGTTTTTTTTTTTTTGCAGTACAATGAATGCGTTCTCATATGAGTAGCGCACGCACTGTTGTGTTAAGTTTTACTTTTCATGCGAAATTACCTTCTTATCTATCTATTGATCTATGATCCTCCATCTACAATTATTTTTCTTCCTTTTGACGAATAAGTGCCATTCTTTTTTCTTTGACTTTTTTTTTTCTTTGTTTAATCTTATTACTATTTTATAAAACGCTAAGAAAAAAAAAAAAAAAAAAACAGAAAAACTGGTTTGTGCGAGAAGAGATGGGGTGTGATACAGAAACGACTCAACAAGTGCAAGAACAGTGGCAGAAAGAAGAAGAGCAAACTCAGCACAAACAAATGGTGGTTCTTCTGGACATCGATAATACATTGTACAATGACAAGGCAGTGGGTTCTCTCTCTATGCAAATGCGAGTTGCCCTTATAGAATATGTACAGAATTGGCTTAAGATACCTTTTGAAGAAGCAAAGTCTTTTGTTGAGAAGTGTTTTAAACAGTATGGTTTGACTATTTGCGGTCTCGTGCATGAGAAAACTGGTATCGAACCTGAACATATAACAGATTTTGTCTACAGCCGTTGTGATTTTACTGGAATAAAAGAGGATGTCATGCTTCGTGAAATGCTTTCTCGTTTGAGAAGTGAACATCAACACAGACTGTACTATTTAACAAATGCTCCACGGAGACATGCTACTACTGTATTGGAGAGACTAGGCCTTACTAATGATGAGTTTGCCTTGGAAGGATTTTCCTACGAGGATCAATGGGCACATACAAAACCTGTATTGGGTAATAAACCTATGCGATCCGCGTACAGTGCAATTTACAATGCGTTAAAGGAAAGACATCCGGACTCTATGTGGATTGAACCGTATCACATGGTAATGGTAGACGACGCTGCACATAATCTTCTCGAACCTCTTGCAATGGGATGGAGTGCTGTATGGGTGGCCCATGGTGCTGAGGTACCGGATGTGCTTCTCACTCCAATGAAAAGTGGTAGACTTGTTTGTGTTGAGCACATTGGAGAGCTCGAGGATGCTATTCATCGACTATCAACACAGAAAGAAAGTGCGGAACTGTCTTTCCAATGACCGTATTTTTCAAATATGGACTCTATTATACTGTTTCGTATATACTTTTTTTTTATTAAAAAGTTATTGTCTTTTGACGCAGCTCGTCACTAGATATATTTTTCTTTTTAAACTGGGTTTCTCTTTGCATATATGTGGTTAGCAATCGAAGCCATTTACTTAATGGTTTTCGTTTCCTTTGCACTGAAGAGAGAGAGAGAGAGAGAGAGAAAGAAAGAGAGGATTAAAAAAAAAAGATTTATATCTATATATTTATTTATATATTTATATACCTTTTTTTTTTTTTACCATATATTGTATTGCTTCTATTACTGACTTCTTCGTAAAGGTTTCTTGGATTTGTTCTAGGACCCACAATGTGTGCACAAGCATCCCATACTTGCATGCACGTATTTATTTTATTGAAGTTTATTATTATTTTCTCTCCTTTTTTTTCTTCCTTTCCTGTTCACAAACAACAACCTGGGTACTACGATAGGTCTAGTATTTAACCCCTATAGGGACATAGTAACTCGTGATATTATTAGGCTTTCTTCGTTTTTTTCGTTAAGGATATTCTTGTTCTTGTTGTCTTTTATTTGCTATCTCTCTCTCAGTGTGTGTGTGTGTTGCACAGCAAAGATCATGTCCCGTATCTTCCCTCTGCCTGTACGTCATGATCATCCACATCATCATCGTCGTCAAGGTCATTCTGTGCCCCAACTCCCACTCCTTCTTCTCCTTCTGCTTGCTTTGACTTTTGTTTCTGTCCCATCGGGGGCGGTGCGCTTTGTGCTGCGCGACACCACCCCCGTTTGTTTTGTGGAGGAGGTGGACGATGCGACGCGGGTGGTGTCTGGCGAGTACACCCGCACGGGCGCCAACACCAACGTGCCGGCGACGATCATCGTGTCGGACCCGAGCGGCAACGAGATCTCCAACAGTCCGTTGGCCCCCGGCGCCCACGCCTTCACGGCCCCCGTCTCGAACGGGATGGTCGGGCCGTATCTCATCTGCGTGCAGGTCGCCCAGCGGGGGTGGGTGGCGCCCCAGACCGGCAGCGACGCCATCGTCCTCGACTTCAACGCCGACCAGTCGTCCAGGACCGCCGTCAAGCCGGAGGTCCCCGTCACCCGCCAACGCATTGACGGGATGGAAGTCTTCACTTTCCGCGACTTTGGGGGACAGCAGAAGGATATGCTCCGCCCAGCAGAGTACATACACGGCGTCGAGAAGGCACTCAACATACTCGATACTCTCGTCGAAGAGACAAAGGATGAAATTGATCACCTTATGGGACGTTTTGCGCGTATGCGGCGTACCTCGGAGAGCACCTACACACGCATTTGGGCCTTCGGTATCCTCACTGCCACGGTTATGATAGGCGTCACCTGGCTACAGTTTCGCTTCCTCAAATCTACGCTCCGACACAAGAAGTTGGTGTAGTGTGCAAGTAAGATGAACAGAAAAAAGGCAGAAAAGGAATCCCAATACATATATATATATATATATCTGTATATATGTGCGTGTAAAAAAAGAAAAAGGAAAACCACGAAGAAAAAAAAGAAACACGCAATCCAAAGAAAAAAAGCATTACAGCACTTACTTGGCAGTACATCCTACACAGAGTTAACGTCAAGAAATTCGCGAAAAAAAAAAAGCACCAATACCATTGACGAACACACTACATCAAAAAATTAGGTAGTCCTCGCATAAAAAAAAATTGGGCTAAGGACACACTCTACAGGTGTAGGACTAAAGAGTTTACTTCCAAGACAAAAAAACAACAAAAACCACATGTACTGCAATGTCCGTTTTACATGAAAAAGACGACACCAATATGAAAACTATACACTTAAAACACATTCAAAACCCAAAAATAATTTAATATTACTAACTTTGAAGCATAAAAAAAAAATAACTATTTACCTCTTCCGTTTTTTTTTCTCACTTTCAAACCTGACGTAGGCTAGAAATATCCAATCATATACAAAGACATAAACATAGTAGCAATTCTCTCAAGTATTAAAATAAAAAATAATATGATGATAAACGTCCACATTTCTGAGATGCACCAAGCGATGAGTTTACCGACAACACAAATCACTCCACTCTGACGTCACCTCCCAACCCCAACCCCACTCACCACACATGCACAGCAGACTCAGTACTCCA